CCTGCCACAGTGCCTGGCTTTTTTTTTGGTTGCAGCTGTCATTACTGTTTTGGCGGCCCAGGCTGGATTCGAACCTGCCACCTTGTATGTGGCTGACGCCTTAGCTACTTGAGCCACAGGCACCGAGCCTACCTTTATCCATTTAATCTTTCAGATAAACTTTAGAATAAACATGTTAAGATTTTATGGTTGGGCACAGTGGCTCATACCTGTAATACCAGCACTCTGGGAGGCCAAGGCAGGTGGTTGCTTGAGCTCACAAGTTTAATACCTAAGCCAGAGCAAGATATCGTCTCTAAAAAATAGCTGGGTGTTGTGGTAGGGGGCTGTAGTCCCAGCTACTCAAGAAGCTGAGGCAAGAGTATCTCTTGAACCCAAGAGTTTGAGGTTGCTGTGAGCTATGATGCCACAGCACTCTACCAAGCGCAACAAAGTGAAACTCTATCTCAAGAAAAAAAAAAAAAAAGACTTTAATGAAAAAGTTCTTGGGCCAGGCGCAGTGGCTCACACCTGTAATCCTAGCACTGTGGGAGGCTGAGGAGGGAGAACTGCTTGAGCTCAGGAGTTCACAACTTGCCTGAGCGAGAGTGAGACCCCTGACTCCTAAAAAAATGAAAAAACCTAGTCGGGCACTACAGCGAGCACCTATAATCCCAGTGGCTTCGGAGGCTAAGGCAGCAGGATGCTCACAGCCTAAGTCTGAGGTTGCAGTGAGCTATGATGCCACTGCACTCTGCTCAGGGCATAGGGTGGGACTCTGTCTCAACAACACAACGATAAGGACAAAGCTCTTGGGATTTTGATTGGAATTATATTAAATTTATAAGTTATTTAAGAAGAATAAAATCTTTATAGTACTGTTAACTCTGTTAACTTTCATTCCATGAAACCTTCTATGTTGCACTAGTCTTAGAATATAGGAAACTCAAGTCTTCTTTTATTTCGTAAAGTTTTGTTGTTGTTGTTTTTTTTTTTTTTTTGAGATGGAGCCTCAAGCTATCCCCCTGGGTAGAGTGCCATGGCATCACGCTCACAGCAACCTCCAACTCCTGGGCTCAAGCGAGTCTCCTGCCTCCGCCTCCCAAGTAGCTGGGACCACAGGCACCCGCCACAACGCCCGGCTATTTTTTGGTTGCAGCCGTCATTGTTGTTTGGTGGGTCCAGGCTGGGGATTCGAACCCGCCACCTCAGGTGTACGTGGCTGGCGCCTTAGCCGGTTGAGCCACAGGCGCCGAGCCTATTTCGTAAAGTTTTTAAATTCACTTCCCTAGGTTCACTTATAAGTGTTTTACAGTTTTATAAATTATTATTTTTTCTCTTTCATTTTTCAGTAGTAATTGCTAGAGTGTAGGAGAAAAACTTTGTTAGTTCAGAACTTCCCAACCAATGTTAAACGGTAGTAATAATGGGGGATTATTCTCCTATTCCTAACATTAATGGGATCTGGAAATGTTTATTGTTGGTTTCTAATATTCTTCATCAAAGAAGAAACTTTCTATTTCTAGTTTATTTATTACCTGCTAAGCTCAAATGTGCATTTAAGGGTATTTGAGTTGCTGATCTTCCCTGACTTTCTGTGAAGGATTGCTTAGGTTTAACTCCTAACTTTAATGTTTTCAATTTATACAACCTCAAGGAAGTTATTTAATCCCTCTGTACTTCAGTTTCCTTATCTGTAATATGTAAAGAAAAGATAATAATACCTACCCCACGGGATCTGGTGTAATAACAAACAGGCCAATGCGTATGTGTAAGTAACTCTGTGCAGTGCAAGACACACACTAATTGTTTGATGTTAGCTATTCTTATTTCTTTCATTCTAAAAGGCAATTATATTATCTGAAATTCATTATAAATTTATGTTCTCTTTTACCATCTTTTTTGCTCTTGTTGTTTTATTTCTCTTTCATGTTTTGTTACATTTGCTTTACCTTAAAAAACTCCTGATTTCAAAAGAAATAAAATATGGCTAACTATGATGTTGGTTATGGGTAGGAGACAGAAAGATGTTGTCCATTCCCTTTCTAGTTTTAAAGATTTATTTTCTAAAGAAATATAGGCTGAATTTTATAAGATGCTTTCATTGTCATATTACTAGATTTCTAGCATAAAACCTATTATTTGTAGTGAGCTATACTTTATACTATTCAATTGGCTAACTATCTGTTTGTACCTAAACTTCAAAGTGAGTCAAGAGTTAAAGATTTTTCCTGACAGGTTTTATTACAAGGGTTACAGTGGTTTCATAATGGACCCAGAAGAGTTGTTTGTGGGGACTTTTCATGTTTCTATGTTTTGGAGCCATGCTCTTTCATGAGTGTGGATCATTTATAATGCTTTATAATTGAAAGCCATTCATCTACATTTAATTTAAAGGTATCAGGCCTTATAAAGTCATACACTTAACACAATGATAATGAAAATAAGAATGTGACTCATAAGATTAAAAATTTTATAGGACAGGAAAAGAACTAAACGGTTGTACCTCACTAAGTTCATGTTGCCTTTGCATCTTCTTTTCAAACGTAGACTTCATTTGTGTAAGTAATTCATACTAAAAGAGAAAATTAAAATGTCATTTTAGTCTGTTTTTAAATTGCACAAATTTCTTTAAAATAATCACTAACTCACCTTATCTAAAACAGTTTGCCTTTTAGCTTCTAAACTAGGCTCCAAAAGGAGATTTTTTCCTGTAAGATAAAGTTCTGATTTACTTCTAGGTAAAGAACACATTTTTCTCACACAATTTGAGCTGAAGTAAGGGAAGACATACTTGCTAGTTCCTCAATGCTTTTTACTAAGTCATCCTTGTCAGTAATAATTTGCTTTAGTTGAGGCAAATTCAGAAACTGGTCTAGTAACACATCCTCTTGTTCATTCATATCTGTGAGTTGTGAAACACTAGAGACACAAAAGAAAAAAAAAACATGTTGTTAAATATAAGTCACCAGATTTTTCTCCATGATGATAAATATTCACAATTCCTAGCTTTATTTACTTGGCAGGGTTCTAAATAATTTTTATATATACATATAAGAAAGCCAGTTATAACCTTAAAAGAATATAAAACATCAGCCACAATGGAACATAAAGTAGTCTATAATATATTCAGGACAGAATCTGTAGGAGTGAATTCTTGTCCAGTGGATATACTGACATACGTAACTCCTCTTTAAAATCTTATCTATGGGGAAGTATTCACAAGTATACAGTGACCAGAAATAAACAATGAGAGCCTCTCAAGTAAAGAAAAATGCTCCTTAAAAAAGGAGCCGTAATATATTTTTTTTCTTTTTCTAAATTTGATTACTTGCTTTAGATTTAGAATATGACTTACTTCTTAAATTTCCCTGATAGGAACTACCCTTTCTGATTTGTGAGATTTAAGCCATTTCTTTCTCCCAAGCATAATGTTGAACATATTAATAAGACTGTAAATTCAAAGGAGTAAAAGCCCACAGACAAACTAGCATTAGAAGATGCTCTTTTTATTCCTTTCATTGTATGTGTTGATGAGAGGGAAGCAGAACTGTGAAAAGGTCACAGTAGTTGCTGTAATATGTTGGCTTGTGAAAAACTTATATGGGAGACTGTTCTATCTAGTCAGTTTTAGACTAGGTCAACACCTGATTTCTAGCATTTAAAAAAAATTCCTGGGTATACTAGTCACTCAATAAATACAACCTATAAGACCTAAAACTGATTTATAATTTTTTTTTTTTGAGACAAGAGTCTCACTATGTCACCCCCAGTAGAGTGCCATGGCATCACAGCTCACAGCAACCTCAACTCAGGGCTCAAGCAATTCTCTTGCCTCAGCTTCCCAAGTAGCTGGGACTATAGGTGCCCACCACAATGCCTGGCTATTTTTTGTTGCAGTTTGTTGCAGTTATTTTTTGTTTTTGTTGGTTAGCTGGCCTGGGCTGGGTTTGAACCCGCCACCTTCCATGTATGTGACTGGCGCCGTAACCACTGTACTATGGGCACCGGGCCTGCTTTATAAAATTTTCCCACTATCACAAAAATACGGTATAGGAAAAGTGATGATATTATTTGAAAATAAAATCTTTTAATCTCACATGAGTAAAATCATCTGCTTTGTACTTACAAATAAAATAGACAACACCACCAACTTTTTACCTTAGTTCTGAGAGTTCTGGAAATGTATCAGGGACATCTGGCATCTTGTAACCAAATCCATTTTGGCTTGTCTAAAGAAGAGATTTGAATTAGAGTTTTCACTAGATTTAAGCCATCCTTTGGACTGCTCCCATTTACTTATAAAAGGACTTTCAATGTACCATATCCCACAATTCCTTTCAGTACTACATCTTCTTTTTTTTTTTTTTTTTTTTGAGACGGAGCCTCCAGCTATCCCCCTGGGTAGAGTGCCATGGCATCATGCTCACAGCAACCTCCAACTCCTGGGCTCAAGCGAGTCTCCTGCCTCAGCCTCCCAAGTAGCTGGGACCACAGGTGCCCGCCACAACACCTGGCCATTTTTTGATTGCAGCCATCATTGTTGTTTGGTGGGCCCGGGCTGGGGATTCGAACCCGCCACCTTAGGTGTATGTGGCTGGCGCCTTAGCCGCTTGAGCCACAGGCGCCGAGCCCAGTACTACATCTTCATCCTCATACTTCATACAGTCCTTACTCTCCCCTTCTTCCTTCAGTCTATTTTTTTCAGTGTAAATTTGTCATATAAGGTTTACTTTTTTCTTCTTTTTGGTGAGGGCACATAAGTACTTCTGTGTTAGTTCTGTTTCTTGAGAAAGTATATGGTTGCGAAATAAATCTCTTAAGTATATCTGTGACAGGTGGGGAGAATCATCTGTAGCTTTCATCGATATATATGAATATATCATTCTCAAGTTGAGAGGCATTAAATACAGAAAAACTTAATAATTTGGCAACAGTCTGAAGAGTTACACATTCAAGTTAGATGAGGCAGTGCGGCAGATGAGGAAGAAAGTATCCACTGTTTTGAACATAGTATATGACATTGTATACTTGAGGACCCTTGGAAAGTTCACTTGTAATTTTGTTTATACTACTAATTATAATTCATAACATAGCATAGCATAATACAATAAAATACCAAATCACCAAAATACCATAATACAATAAAAGGTTTTGGAAAAACAAAGTCCACTTGGATCTATATATTCTAAATGATTACAAACTCTGAAATTAGTAATGTTGGATATAATAAAGTTCTATAATATCTGAGTATCACTATGGGTGATAAACTCCAGGAGTTAAAAATGGAAAGTTTTAAAATACCTTTAAATGGTTTAAAGGTACGTCTCTCCCTTAGTAACATCCCACATGGCAACAGTACCGGCTTAAGAACAAATGGGATACTTCGGCCTTTAGCATGCTTTAACAGAGCCCCGTAATCTGACACCTGTTCCTACGTGATCACTTCCTGTGCCTTTGCCTACATCCTATGTGGCAGCTAGAAAGATCCATGAAAGGCAGCTTCACAAAAATGACATCTGGTTTATACCTCGATGCCTCTGTCAATGCTACTGCCTCTTACAGAATGCCTCAGGTATCACCTGGTTACCTTAGCAAATTCATAACCATTTTTCCAAGCATAAATTCATTCACTCATTTACCTGCTTTTTACTTAGCACCTATTATATGTATCAGGCATGGTGTGAGGCACTAAGGATAAAGTGGTGAAAAGAACTGCATTTTTTTGTAAAGGCATCCTGCTAGTTCCACCTTGGTCCCTGGGAGCACTGATCATTCCTTTAACACCGTCTCTACAAAACTCTGGACTATCTCTCTCTTCTACTCTACTAGAAGTTCTTTATTTGCAATTATTTGACTATTTGTTGGTCACCTCTCTGTGTTTATTAAGTTGAAAAATTTTATTTATCTTTTGATATTTTGTGCCACACTGGCTGGCACAATAAGGCACATATACGTAATACATGTTTTTTGACTGAAAGAATGTATCAATGGTACGAAATAGAGGTCAACTGAAGACACCAACCGGTGCTGAAGCATCTGTGGTGGGAACAGGTAATGGCAGATTTGAAAGAACACCAAAGGAAGGGGCAGCCGGCTTGGCTGGGGTCAAACTTGTTGTTGAAGAAGAAATGGTGTCAGCAGCAGATAGAGAAGTGATATTCCTATTAGCTTCTTTTGAGGGAAATGGAGGAAGAAATGGAAAACCCTGAGAGGCAGCATACGGGGGCATTCCACCTGGGTTACTGTACAGGCTGAAGAGAAAAAGAGAAGAATCACCAGTTAGATTTCAGTGGTGAAATATATAAAATTATTCCTAAATTGTTCTAAATAACAACAATCATGTGTAATAGAGGGACTCACTTTATAGCAGGTGACACTTCTTATAACTGTAATGAATTATACATTGAATAAATATGTAATTCAGTTATATACTCAGTGTAATTATATATTCAATATAATTATATCCTGAATTGAATATTATAATTTGGTAAAATATGACCCCCTCTAAGAGAATTGTGGTTTCTATGAAAAGGAAGATGAATGTGTTAGAAAGCAGGTACTTCAACTGCTTAGAGTAGAAGTGAATAGAAAGCCCATTTTCCAGTTCTGGTATCAGTGACTATCTCTCCAGAGGGAACTCAGAACATTTAATCCAGGAAATTTATCCACGTGTAGGCTGCCTAGTAGCTTTCTCTACATTTGGGAAAATCTGACCAGAAGTCAATAATGCTTTTCTAGAAAATTTTAAAGGAAAATGAAATATACAGATGAGTTGCTGAGAATGTTAAAATATTAAAAACAGATGCATATATAAACATGCATATACATTAGAAAGAGTAGCACAGCATTATGCACGTGGGATTTAATCAGAGAATAATGTAGTCAATATTTATTCTTGTAAGATAAAAAAAATAGTTTACATTTACTATCTTTCCTCCTTAGAAAAATTTAGAGGCCAGGCATGGTGGCTTGCACCTGTAATCCCTGCTACTCAGGAGGCAGAGGCCAGAAGTTCAGTGAGGCTAGGAGTTCGAGGCCAGCCTAGGCAATCTAGACAGACCTTGTCTCAAAAAAAAAAAGAAAGAAATGTTCAGGGAGAAAAGAATTAGAGTAATCCAGGCCAAACTGCAAGTTGAGTATCACCAAAATACCAATGTTGGAATTAATACAATGAGATTGTATTTGTTAGTCATGCTCATGTAAAGAATAAAGGACTTAGGGTTATATTTAAATATAATACTAACCACTAAGAGATTTTACTTTGTTTCAAAACATGTTCCAAAATATATAAAGCTTAAATAATTTTTTATGGGAGTACTATTATTTTACTATTATTTCATTGGAAGAAAACACTTGTTGCAGACTTTGAAACGTAAACTAATGACACTAAAGTTTATATGGAAAAATAAACAAGCAAAGGCAGAAGAAAAAAGTCTGGAAAAGGAGGGTAAAGAGATACTAGCCTTGCCACGTAGCAAAAAATCCATAAAACTTTGATAATTAATCAAAAATTAAAGCACAGTAAGGTTAATGGATAGGCAAGTCCAAACACGCATGGAATTTAGCATATAATATACGTATAATCTCAAGCAAGTGAAAGACAGACAGAATAGTAAATAGTTCTAAGACGTGGAAAAGACTAAATTTGACCTAGATATTCATATTTACTATGGTATACAAACCTAATGGTCAAGGATTTAATTGTTTAAAAAAATCCTGAAAGAACACTGAGAAATTATAACTGTCGGTTGGGAAAAGACTTCTTGTGACCACCAATTCTGAAATTATGAGAGAAAATAATGAAAAATTCCAGAACATAAAATTCTATAGGGCAAAGCCCTTTTTAAGACAAGTATCAAATCTAGGGGAAATACTTAAAACTTTTTTCATAGAGAAAGGGATAATATCTCTAATATATAAAGAATTCCTACAAATTGATAAAAATATTAATAACCCAACAGCAAAATGGAGACTAGGATATACACAGAACAGAGAAGGAAAAAAAATCTCTAAAGCACAAGAAAAAATGCCCAATTTCACTATTAGTAAGATAAATACAACTTAAATTTTAATAATGTTTTATTTTCTGCCTAACAACTGACAAAGGTCCATTTTGATAATATGGGGAGACAGGCATTGAATGCAGGTTGTAGGAACTGGTACCACTACTCTAGAGGGTAATTTTGCAGTATTTGTCATAATTACAAAAGTGAAAACTGCTTATAAAATTTATCCAACAAATATGCTCACATCTGGGTGAGATTTTTTTTTTTTTTTTTAGGATTATTTACTGTAGCAATGAGGGTAATGAGGAAGGGTGGGCCTTTTAGGAAAGATTAGAAACAATGGAAATACCCATCAATAGGAGTCTTGCTAAGTAAGCTCGGTACATTTTGGATACTTTGTGGCCATAAAGAATAACCAGGAAGTGCCTTAGATACTATGAGAAACTTTCCAAATCATACCATTTAGTGAAAGTAAAAAGCAAGGAAACAGTAGACTACTATTCATGTAAAAAAGAGCGGAATAAAGTACTACATATATTTTCTCGTATATGCATAGAGTATTTCAAGAATTATACCCAAACATATCTGGAAGCCAGTGAGCAGAAAAACTAAGTTACAAGGGGAAAAAAAGTGGCACAGTAGCTTTTCATTTTGTATTCCTTTACTTTTTGAATTTTGAACCAAGTGAACAGAAGACCCCTTCAAAACATTATTAAGTTAAAAGTTTTCTAACAAGCTTGTTCATTTCAAAAGATATTTATCCTAAAACTTTACTTTCTTCCAAAGGAATTTAAGAAAATTGCTGGCTTGTATTTTCAAAAAAGGTGAATTTATATCCAATTCTATACCTATAGAAGTTAGGAAATACAGTTTTTGCATAAAGAATATCCAAATTCTTTATCTAAAAATAGGAACATAGGACTCTAGGACATAGATAACAAGAAGGCAAAGATGGGGAGGAGAGGTCTGAATTACCTACTGAACTGCACAAGCTAGTTAAGGAGATTCCCAGACAGGGTTGAAGACGCCATCTGACTTTTGAACAAGAAAAAGTTCTTGGAAATTAAGTAGAGGGATTGGGAAATAAAACCAAGAAATATCCTAAGTAAAGGAAATATACATATTAACATGAACAGTAAGAAAAACCTTAAGAGCTCCGGTGTTATACTTAGAAAAATTCCATAAAGAATGAAGGAAAAAAGGCAAGATAGAAATTACAACAAACCCAGAACTTACCAGAAATGAAGACATGACTCTCTAGATGTAAAAAGCCCCTGAGATACCCAGCACATGGAAAAACACTAAGGTGCTGCAGCATTGGGAAGTTTCAGAATAGCAGAGATAAAAAGAGTTACAAAAGATCAGAAGTATGAATGGGTTTGGGCACCTCAGCAACAGGGGGCTCTTATAGTATATAAACAGAGCAGTGCCTTCCAAATTTTTAAAGACCACTTCAACCTCAAATTTGAACTGTACCAACTATCAAATGTGAGGGTAGTTTCAAGACATTTACAGATTTTCTGTTTTTTTTAAGCATCACAAATTTATCTTCCAAGTATGTCTGGAATACTGTATATTCCAAAAATGTTCCACATGCTCTTTCAGAGCTTTGCTACTCCCCCATGAAAAAGAAAAACCTACACAATCCCCTCCCCTGCCCACCCTGAATGTAGTTAGGACTCTACAATCGCCTCAACAAATGCAATGTAGCAAAGTGACAATGAAATTACTTTCTCATAACTGGCTTCCAGGATGTTCACCCTTGGAACCCAGCCATCATATAAGGAAGCCCACACCACCCAGAGAAGCCACATTTAGATATTCTGGCTGAGATCCCCATGAAAAGCTTCTACTAGGTGCTAGCGGATGATTAGCAGAGCACACATAAACTCTTCTGATGAACTCTGCCTAAACTCCAGATTAGTGAGCAAAATAAATGTGTTCACTGTTTTAAGCCATAATTTTGTGGGTAATTTGTTATGCAGCCTTAGTAACAAGAACAGATTTTGGTACTTGCAAGACTGCTATGATCAAAACTAAATAATAAAGAATAAATAATAAAATCTTAAACATGGGAGTATAGTAGTAGCTTTGGGAACAGAGGTAAAGGTGGGAAGAACCCTCAGAAGAATATAAAAGACTGAAGGGCCTCCAAGAAACTGTTAGCAGCAGCCTGGTGGGCCTGGGTAGACGGTCAGGAGAAGTGGAACTCTGTATTAGCAGGCAGTTTACCAATGCTGCTGCTTTCTGGTTACCCAAGGCTTGTTCTCCTAGTTTATAATGAATATATGAGAGGCAGCTTCCTTGTCTCTTTAATTCCCTGTGTTCACATCGAGAGGAATTATTCTTGAGGAACAGACCTGAGAAACCTCTTCTGCATGTGAAGTTGATTTAGATGATGAAACACTGGACCTTGAATCAAGTCTGATTCTGTAACAGAAGGAACTTTGGAAGTTCTTGGAGGAGGGGAAGAGTGCATTTTTGCATATAGGAAAGAGGTGAATTCTTGTGACTAGACAGAGAACTGTGTATTTTCCAAAATGGCCACAGCCAGATTTCTAATCCCCACATGTTCTTCTTGAACTCTGGCATCCTCTTGAGAGGTGGAGTCTATTTCTCCTCTCTTTTCAATTTCGGTGGGACTTTGTGACTAATTTTATAAACAAAATGTGACAGAAATAATGCTCAATGATCTTCAGGGCTATATAATAAAAGGCAATACAGCTTCCACTTGGCTGGTGTGCCAAAACATCTTCTGGGATGCTTGCCCTGGGGACCCACCCCACCAGGCAGTGAGGAAGCCTAGGTCACATGGAGAGGCCACATACAAACTTATCAGCTAATAGCCCCGGTAAGGTTTTAGCATTTGGCCAACATTAATGGCCAGATATAAGAATTAAGGGAGCTTTGAGATGATTTCAATCCCCATATTTGAAGCCACACTAATAAATGCAATGACTAGAGAAAAAAACAAGCTATTGCCACTGGTCCCTAATCAAACTGCAGAGTCATAAAGAAAATAAATGTGGTCATTATTTTAACCACAAGTTTTAGGGTAATTTAATATAAATCCTTAGTAACTAGAATATGCCTTTCCTTAAGAAGCTCCTGGAAGACAGGAAACTAAGAAATAGATGGAGAAAGAGAAAAACACAAAATCCAAAACAAGAAGAATCTCATATAAGAAAGTGGCAAAGGGAAAACCTAGATTTTAAGCAAAGGCAGTTCCTGGATGAGACCTGTGTGGGCCAGAGAGGGTCAGACTGGGGGGCAAGTAGGGCACTGACTATAAAGGCTTAAAGAATAACAAAGCCTAGGGATTACCTGACTGGTTTAATGATGTGAAAAAATGGTTTAAGAGATATCTTCTGAGTTGATAAAAAGCTCTGTGGACACTTAAGATGTATGGAAAGTTAAGAGGATATAAGGAAAACAAAACCAATAGAAAATGGAGATAATTATTAATTACAGAAAAAAAAGCAAAATGTTATACCACATATACCACAGAAGTATAACCATGGTAACACAGTTGGCTCAGCAATGGAAATACACAGAGAGTCAAAGTTATAAAGACACCAAAGCAATTTCCACAAAAATGACAGTATCAGTGGGAGGAGGAGATGAGGGAAGTCTCGTGACAGCTGAAATCCTCATCTATCATAATAGGAGGTCAACAGAAATAGCTAAAAGAAGAGAAAAGCTGCCTCTGAGAAGTATGGATGTATTTATGTGAAAGTGGGGATGTGGAAATCAGATGACTACCATTCAACATCATTTGAATTTTTAAGCTATATTTTGATTACTTTAATAAATTAAAATATATGCGAAGAATTGTATTTGCTACAAACATACTTACTATGGAAATGCTGTTGAAGTAGGAGCTAAAACTGGAGGATTCTTCCAAAACTCGTCCAACAGACTCTGCACAATCTTTCCAAGATCTGAGTGCATTGTAAACTGAAAATAACCATTAATACATGATGTTTAAAATCTCTTTCATAAAAGAAGATTATAAAGTCTGATTAGGATAACATCACTAAATCTTAACCCTTTTTTGCAGGTTAAGAATTAAATGAAAAACAAAGGATACTATGTCAACTAAACATAACTGCAATCTGTAACTTATAACATTTTCTTACAGAATACGGTAAATATTTGGTAATTAATGAACAAGGTTTAAAGTTCATTTAATCAATAATGGTGCTCAAATATTCCCACATTTCACTATTTGTAATGATTTGAAGGTTCAAAGGTAAATACTAGAGTATATGTAAATTATAGTCCTTTGCATCAATGAATCATATCATACCCTCGTACACAAAAACATTTTTTAAGTTATTAATAACATTAAATTTTAAATGCATTTCAGACTTCTAAGATATTTAGTAGTAAAGTAATATACTTGTTACAGTACTCTAAATTATACCACATACATACATTGTTTACTAATGGAGAGGTAACATATATTCCTTGTTTATCCATTAAGTGATGTCGTATTGGTGGATAAACACTGATCACTGGTTTTTCCTGAGGAAATTGTGGAGGAAGCAATCTGGTAAAGGCAGAACAGAACAGATGAAAAATAAAAACAAAGATAACAACTGGTACATAATATAATCCAAATCCTAAAACAAAGTTAGTAACAGCAAATTAAATGTTCCCACTTTGATATGGATTAATTACTTAGTAACAAATGCTCTAGTGTGGCTATTGAGTTGAAGAGAGTACATAAAAGGCTACATTGGCAACCAGACAATGTAGTCATTCCACAGGTAAGACCTTCTCAACGTGGAATATGGATAAGCTGAGTTATGGAATATTCTTTGCATTGTGCCAATTACATAACATACTAAAATATCAAGGTAAAAATTAGATTAGGCATTGATATGAGATGAACCATACTGGCTATTTATAGGCCAACAGGTCTGGTTATATAATTTCCTGGGTTTTTTCTACTTTTAAAATGCCAAGGCTGGGCATGGTGATGCACATGCTTGTCATCCGAGCTACTTGGCAGGCAGTAGGCAGAACTGCCTAAGCCCCAGAGTTCAAGACTAACCTGATTTTTAAAAAGGAAATAAAAGAAAATTAAATAAAATGCTTCCAATAATTATTTCACTATTTATTGTCTTTCTGGAGAGTAAGTGGATAAAATGATAAACACAAGGATTGAAAAGTAGTCATCATGCCTCGGTTCCATGTGGTTGCCTTCTAAATGTCCCAATTAATACATTCTTCCCACCTTGAGGGCCAATCAGATGGTTTCAAGTAAAGAACAGTAAATTCTGAATACAAAAATTTTAATCTTTTTTGAAGTACTACAAAACTAAGATTAACAAGAGAAGACTTAATAATGGGGGTTTACTGGATATGGAACTCTGTTCTACAAAATTTCTAAAAACTTAGAAGACTTCATTGCCAGGGAGTTGCCTTTCTGTTCCCCTGCTGGCTCAGAAACTATTTGTTGGCAATACTGCCGAAAAGAAAACTGGGTCCCTGTTGACCTCTCTTAATTCTAGCTGGGCATCTGATGACAGATAAACCCTCTCCATTTACAAAGGTGAATAATTTGCCCCAATTTGCAAGGCTGCTGTGAGTATTCCAAAAGCTCATATATATCAAGTTAACATAGCATAATACTGGCACAGTTATATATTCATGCTTTAGTCATTTATTCGACTTCTTTACTAAGGCCTACTTTACTAAGTACTTTACTAAGGCCTCCTGTGTGGGGATGCTCTGCTCCACAATGAGAATACGAAGGTGAATAAGGTTCTTTCCTGCAAGTTAGGTACCTTCTTCACTAGTCCAAACACCTGCCCTAGCAGCAGTCACCTAAAGCAATCTGAAGTAATCACTTAATTCTTTCACCCCACAGACTCACAATTTGCATATAAAGTTAAACACTTTCTTCAGCAGAACCTGTACTGTTGTGTCAAAACAGTTAAACTTAAAAGTCTGGATGAAGTGTCTCCTATAATCTTATGGCAGAGGCTGCAGGCTGCTTTCCGAAATCAAAGTTGTTCAAGTTTTTCCCTCATAACTTAAGTAAAAACCTCATGATTACATTTTTAACTTTTAATTTTCCTTAAAAATGATTAGCAGATCAACTCCAGCCTTGCACTTATTGTTGCTGAAATCAGGAATACTAAGTCTTGTTTCTGAAGTAAAGGCAAATCTATTTCTAATGGTTTTTCTATACGTGATCCCTTTGTTTCTCATTAGCATTTTTCAGCTTATCTCCAGCTAAGATTTTAGTCCACATGAATAAAAACAATTGCAATCTAAGGATTATTATTGTACCTTTTGTATTTCTTCTTTTATAGTTGCTTTTTTATAGCAATATATATTAGAGTGGTATCCTTCAAAAATTTTTATTTCAATAAATTATGTACTATTTTCTAAATTCTAATTATTTAAAGTAAATTCACTTTCTCATAATAATTAAGAAACAGAAAACAAAACATTTTTAAGGCCTAATACATGAAAAAACGGGATACAATTCTACTTACATATTAATGTTAATTGTTAGGTTGTTTATGGTGAATGGCAATCTGTATTCCACATCTTTCTGTATTTCAGCTATACTGTAAGAACAAATTAATAAAAAAATTGACCCAAAGTCATAGAACCATTATTGTTAAAAATAGATGTTAAGTGTTACAGCCTACTAGAAGTGCTTTTAATTTTAAGTGCAGAATCTGGACAGCCAGTATAATTTGTATCTTGAAGGAAAAATGATCATAGTTAGAAAGGCTTATCAAATATGCAGGTAGTAATATTCTGAAATAATCCAGGGGAGGGGAATGTTTAGGTAAAGAGGCAAGGAAAAACTCTTTTATTAATGCTAGATTGATTATCACTTTATCCAATTTATCATTAGTAGAAGCAATTAAGAACCTCTGGAATTTGGATTCTAATTATAAGTCTGCCACTATCCAGCTAAGTACACAGCTGGGGCAGTCTGGGTCTAAACAGTTAAATGTAAAAGTCTGGATGATGTGTCTCCTGCAGTCTCATGACAGAGGCTGCTGGCTGCTTTCCAAAAACAAATATTCCCCCTTCTTCCTAAAAGGAGCCTGATTTTATCATGAATAGGAATGGTTTAGTCTTTCTTGCAACTAATTGTTGGTAAAGACCAGGGGTTCTCAACCTGTGGGTTGCGACCCCTTTGTAACAATTAAATACATGGTGGGATTAGGAAGGCTGAGAACCACTGGTATAGACTTAAGTCACAGCTAATAAAACATATAGGAAAAGTTACAGGGTGGAATTCTAGGAAAGCATCTTAAAAGGGAGTAAGAGAATAGATAACTCAAGCCAGGCACAATGGTTGACACCTGTACTTGCAGGTTACAGTGAGATATGATCATGTTATGGCACTTCAGCCTGGATGACACAGTGAGACCTTGTCTCTTAAAATAATAATAATTCTCAACTTGTATGTTTTTTATACTTTACTTTAACATACAATACTCAGAATTTTGTTTTATGGTAGACATAATTATAAATACAATCTACCAAACAAGGCTAATTGGGGGCTCACTTGAAATTCCGGCCAACAGTCATATTTCCAAAGGGAAAATGCTAAGTAGTATTAATGAGTTAAGGTTGCAAAAGAAGTTTAATATTCAACTGGACTTAAACTTTGAGCATGAATTCCCTTCCAAGGCCTAGCAAATGCATAACAATTTACCTTTCCTTCTTTGGAGGCTTCAGCCAACAGCTTTATAAAACTTGTTTTCCTCAATTTTTTTTTTTTTTTTTTTACTATTGTATATTTTAGCTTTTTGACAAAAACTTAGCCTGTAGAATATAAAAATCTTAGGTGGCTTAAAAGAATCAGAAGTGTTGGCATGGAGTTATGGTGAAACTGTAGATGCAGACAAGCTTTCCCCTCTGATATCCTTCGGAAGGAGCATTAAGAAGAAACAGCTAAGAGGAGATTCAAGCAGAAACTTGATATTAGGACTTACACAAGTTTTTTTGTTTGTTTTTTGAGAAAGAGTCTCCCTATGTCACCCTTCGTAGAGTGCTGTGGTGTCACAGCTCACAGCAACCTCAAACTCCTGGGCTTAAGTGATTCTCTTGCCTCAGCCTCCCAAGTAGCTGGGACTACTACAGGCATCCACCACAATACCCAGCTATTTTATTGTTGTTGCTGCAGTTGTCATTGTTGATTTTAGCTGGCCCAGGCTGGGTTCAAACCTGCCAGCTTGGTAGATGTGGCCAACGCCCTACCCACTGAACTGCAGGCGCTGCCAGGACTTACACAATTTTTATGAAAGTATCTCTTTGCGAATTAGGTTTGGACTGACAGCCTGCTTCACACTATGAACACCGCTTTGGACTGAGCCTCCTTCAGAGTATGAATACCACATAATCGATAAAATGGCACAAGTGTTTTATTCCCCTACATTGTCACAGGATCCTAAGATGTCACTGCTCAAGGAAACATGGGTCATACAAGCATCCATCAGCTCTAAGTGAGGAAGAGCATCTTAGTGGTTAAGAGCATCACCTCCTAAGTCAGGATTCCTGGGTTCAAACTCTGCTTTGTGATCATGGGTAGGTTCCTCAACCTAAGCATTTTCTCTCACATGGGAAAGGGACGAGTTAAAAGCATCTATCTACTTAAAAGAATTGTTACATTAAGTAAGAAAATGCAAGTAAACCCCTCAGCATAGTATCTGGCCAATGACTGTCCAACATATTCTAACTATTATTGAACAAGTATTTAGGGGAGCTTCCTGGAAGATGGTAGACTAGCAGCAGCCCATGGTTGCTGTTCCATAGACAGGATCTAAAGTTGCAGGCAGATGCCTATCTACAGATGAGTCTTCTCAGGAAGAAAGTTGTGAAACTCTAAAGAAGCAATGGGGACACTAAGAGTGAAGGAGAAGGTGGTAAGGCAAGGCATCTACACACAGGGAAGGTGAGGAGGAGAGAGCCCTGGGGCTCCACGCTTACCCCACAGGCACTGTACTCAAGCACCACCACCACTGCAGACCTCTGGACTTGTTGGGGAGCTGCTGTGAGTCTGTGCAGAGACGCTGCAGTGGAGAGCAGGTACAGCAGGGATTTTGTGGCTACCCATCCAGGGTGTCTGCAACTAACACTACTATCAGCTCTCAGGTACAGGATACCAGGTCTTCACTGGGCTTGGCTTTGCAACAGCAGCCTTCACACAGACACCTCCTAGCCCTGCCAGAGACAGGGTGCTGAGTGCCCCTTCATCTCAATGTGGTATCTGAGCAAAGGGGATGCCTCAGGCAACACAGTACCACCTGAGAAGCCCTGTGGGACTGTCTCAGCAGAACAAGGGTGAACCCAGGCTGCCCAGAGGTCCAAGACCTGCAGCCCAGCCTTGCTGCTGTCCATCCCATGAGGCTCCACCTCCATGATTCCACACTCAGAGGGGCCTGGCCACTGGCTCAACCTCTGCCATTCCCATGCTGCAGTCTGACCCCACAGCTATGCCTGTGTAGCTCTTGTCCTGTCCCCAGGCCACAGTGCTGGCTCGGAGGCTCCTGCTATGCCCTAGTTTTCAGGCTTTGGTCCCGCCCTTGAGACCACAGAACCATCCTGAGTATAATACTCCACCAGGGAACCCACAAACTCCAACTGACATGACACCTGCACTGGTTTGAACCAATGCCTACAGGCCAGACATCCACCAACACTGTCTAGAAAGCCTCAACCAGCTAACACTGCCACTTCTGTAGGGAAACCGCAGGCATAACAATCCACAACACCAGCCTCTACAAAGTCTCACCCAGCCCCCAACTCAAGCTTCCGACAAGGATCTTGGTAACAACCCACTTCCCCACAAGAGGATCATCTGGCACCAGCCTGAGCTGTGACAATCACAGTGGAAGGAGATACAAGGAACAACTCCACTACAAGGATCTCTGATGCCTGCCCCTCTGCTGCAGGATCAGCATTCCAGAGCAAGACGCAAAAGGGCCACCAGGCAGCCAGCAGAGATCCCAGCAAAGAGCAGGCGCTCTGTAACCCTGAGCTGAGAAGAGGATTAACATTAGAAGAAAAAAGCTGGAGAACTCTGATAATATGAAAAACAAAGCAGTTCAACACCCCCTAGGGATCACATAGATCCACAGCAGTAGACCACAAATAAAGGGAGATTATCAAAATGTCGGAAATGGAATTCAGATTATGGATGTCAAATACGATGAATGGAATTCAAGAGAACATTGAAACCAACAAAAAGAAGGCACAGTATTTCAGGAAATCAATGAAAAAAATGAAAAAGCCATGAAAGAGCTATATAAGAAATGATAAATAGAACTTAAAGGAAAGAGACATTTAGGGAATTTCAAAATGCAGCAGAAAGTTTCAAGAACAGACTAAACCTTGAGGCCAACGCTCTGGACCTAACCTAGTCATTTGAAAAGGCAGAGAAGAGAATAAAGAGGACTAACAATCACTCAGAGAAATATGGGGTCATGCAAAGTGAGCCAATATACAAATTATACGTATCGTGGAGGGAGAAAAATAAAGAGTAAAAATTGAGAGCACTATTAAGGAACATTTCCCTGGTATTGCCAGAGATTCAGATATCTCTGAAGATTCACAGTGAATACAAATCTCCAAGATACAAGGTCATCATCAACCCGGCCAAAGTCAAAATGAAGGAGAAAATTCTACAAGCAGCAAGAGAAAAGCAGCAACTAACCTACAAAGGAAAATCCAGGCTTCTTTGTATCCTGCAAAACTAATTTTCATAATTGACAGAGAAATAAAGACCTTTCCAGACAAGCAAACTGAGGGTATTTGTCATGACCAGACCTGGAAATACTTATAACAGCATTATACATGGATCAGCACGATAGATAGATACCCACCCACCAGTGTAAAATGACCCCAAAGCTAACGCTCACAGATGATATAAAACAAAGGCACAAAAAGGAAAACACAGCAATAAGGTATTACCCAATATGATGAACACAACAGCATCCCACATATCAACACTGAAGTTCAATATATATGGTCAACATAAACACAGACTGGCCGGATGGATGAAAAAACGCAACCCAAGTATCTGTTATCTCTAGGAAACACGTCTATCTACAAGGACTCACACAGACTCAAGGTGAAGAAATGGAAGAAAAAAAAATTCCACGCTAATAAAACTAAAAGAGAGCAGGCGTAGCTATTCTCATACCAGATAAAACTGACATTAATCCACAATGGTAAAGAAAGATAAAGGTGATTGTTTTATAAGCCTAAAGGGAACAATGTGACAAGAAGCCATAACAGTGCTAAAGGTATGTGTGCCTAACACAGGAGCTCCCAGATTCATAAAGCCAATGTTGCTAGTTCTAACCAGAGAGATAAACAGTAATACTGTAACTGCTAGAGACTGCAACACCCCCCGGCAGAGCTGGGACAGACCATCAAAGCCAAAAATAAATAAATAAACATTGGACTTAAATGGGATTCTAGAACAAATGGAAGTAAAAGATATTTACAGAACATTCCACCACAAAACTACTGAATATACATTCTTATCAGCACATGGGATATTCTCCAAGATTGAACTTATCTTAGGCCAAAAAATATGTCT